CCACTGTAGATTATTTTAGCAAGAAGGTTGTGTTCAATCCTCCTAATGAGGAACCATTTATAAATTAATAAAATCGTTTAGTATTTATTCCTTTATGGCAAATTTTCTTATTCGTCGAGTACTTTAACCCTGTTGTTTTCACTAACTAGGCAAACCCAAGAAAATGATTTGTATTCAAGAGATTTCGATAATCTGATACTTCCTAGATGTGTTTCTGGATAAACTACCCGGACTGCCAATGGATAGAGAAGTCGAATTCACCATAGACCTCTAGCCAAGCACCCAGCCTATTTCGGTTGCTCCTTAACGCATGAGCCGTGTTTAGATGGAGGAACTGAGGAAACAGATCACTGAATTGCAGAACAGTGGGTTTATCCGACATAGTGTGTCTCTTTAGGGTGCCGGAGTCACCTTTAATAGAAAGGGAGATGGGATGTTGAGGTTATGTATTGATTACAGAGGGTTGAACATAGTCATAATCAAGAACAAGTATTCCCTCCCCAGTATTGATGACCTATTCGATCAGTTGCAAGGTGTCCACGTCTTCTCCAAAATATACCTGCACTCAATTTACCATAAGGTGAAAATCATGACAGAAGACATCCCCAAGACAACCTTTCGAAACAGGTACGGACACTATGAGTTCTAATCATGCCATTTGGACTAACCAACACCCCAGCCATCTTCATGGACTTGATGAATAGGGTCTTCAGATAATTCTTGGATCAGTTTGTTATTGTGTTCCTCGATTACATCTTGGTTTATTCAAAAAGTAGAGAGGAACATGCTCACCATCTAGCTCAAGTTTTGCAGCTTCTCAAAAAAAGGAAGTTGCGTACAAAATTGAGTAAGTGTGGATTCTGCCTTGAGTAGACCACCTTTCTGTGATACATCATATCAAAGGATGAAGTGTCAATGAACTCTGACAAGGTTGAAGCAGTGCTCGGTTGGAAAAAATTGATATCAGTTAACGAGATTCGTAGCTTTCTGGGGATGGCGGGTTATTACTGCAGGTTTGTGGAAGAGTTTTCTAGTCTAACTGCTCCCCTGAATCGGCTCACAAAGAAAAATATCAAGTTTGAGTGGAACGAGAATTGTGAAAGAAGTTTTTCAGAGTTAAAAAAGCGGCTGACCATTGCACCTATGTTGGCTTTACCGAATGGATCAAGGGGTTATATAGTTTACAGTGATGCCTCCTACCTAAGCTTAGGTTGCATTTTAATGCAACATGGGATTATCATAGCTTATGAGTCTAGACAGTTGAAGAGTCATGAGAAAAACTATCTCACTCATGACTTAGAGTTTGCCACAATCATACACGCATTGATGACTTGGCGCCATTATTTGTATGGAAAGACCTTTTAGATCTATACCGATCACAAGAGTTTGAAA